TATGTAATTGATGCATGTTATGTTGAATAAAAATGTAAATTTAGTGCTTATTTATGTTTTTCCTAATTATTTTGTAATTTGTTCATTTACTTATATCAGTTATTTACAAATATGCTTTTATTTACAAAAATTTGCTTGCCCTTATAAATATGTCTTTGTTTGTGAATATACCTTTATATATGCTTGTTTATCAGACCTTTTCATATTTATTTACATTGCGTGTTGATAGAATTTGATGGAATTTATGCTACTTATCAAATTATCATGCCATTCAATAAATTTTTGCTTAATCGATGCTTATCGGAAAAATCTAACTTTGAGCGGCACTACTGGCCTCGTGACATCAGCGTTATCTCCAATTGAAATTTCATTGATAATTTTAGGGCTTGTTTTACGTGAACACGAATATAATTTATTGATTTTTCGCACGTCGATTTCTGATAATGATGTACGTTGCCCCATTTTATCTGCACCAGGCTAAAACCCGCTAAATAATTTAATAAAATAAGTGATAAATTGGTAACGTAATTGCAAGGGTAAGCTTATCATTTGATTACTTTTGATTAATAATATTCAATCTTCAAATTTTGAATTACAGCAATTTCCAATTTTCTATTAATTACGGACTTTTACCAAATCATTTCAGTACTTAAAACAACATACTATAAACAGATAAAATTTTTAAAGCAATAATTATAGTTTTCCCTCTTTATTTTAATTGAGCAAAAAGTGAAAACCTTAAGAGCAATAATTGTTCGACGTCCATTACCACTAAATGCATATGGACCATAATGCATGATTGATGAATAATCATAAGGTTCATTAAGAAAGTCAAGATGCTTCAAACTATGCTTATCAAATTGATCTTCAGCACCACGCATCACATTTTGCCACATAATTTCAATATACTCATCACGATCAGGCCTTAAAATTAAAAATTAACTAGTTTTTTTTTTTTTTGCGTCCTCCATTCTCTTATTGCGCGATCGGTTATGCCATCATTCCCGTTCCGCTTTTCTGGTTCGCTGGCACCACTTTGTTCGATCATGCGCTTGATCGGGATGTATGCCAAACTTCCCATACTTCCCTCATTCATCGGGCTTTATGAGTGGGCATTAGTTTCCACAGGCACCGTAATTTTTATACGAGATCCATAGTTACCATTTTTATACGATTTATGGCTATGACTTCCTATATTAAATTACTTTTGTTATGAACATAAATGCTTGTTTTTAATCCCTGTAGATCTTTTGTTAACTGATTTAAATTTCGAATTGTTGTAACGAAAAGAAGCCATAAAAAGAAGTTAATTTAAATATTGCATTGTTAAAACTGAAACTAACTCAAATTTAGAATTAAGAAAGAAACCAATTCAAGTTTAAGTTAATTTAATTATTAATTGTATCAAGAAGGAAACCAATTCGTAATTCCTTGGAGCAGCAATGATTTCTTTCAAAATAACATCGTAATAAATTTTTTAATATTCATTTAATGGCCTTAAATTTCACATAAAATAATCATTTTTATATTAATTTCCTTTTTGAAAAGTGAAAAAGAAAACATGGTATATTTTTTGTTTTACTTCGCCTTTTTCAACCATCAAATCTTTTTTTATTTTCTACTTCCTAAATTTCAGAAAGATTTTGCAATATTGAGTCGGAAAAAATTATTATGATAAATAATATTAAATTAACAATTTATCCATTCATTAAAAGGATACTATTATTATTATTATCATTATTATTCTATTATTATTATTATTATTATTATTATTATTATTATTATTATTATTATTATTATTATTATTATTATTATTATTATTATTATTATTATTATTA